TCTGTAAACCGCTTAGAGAGGGCTGAAAGCTCTATGAAGCGGCATATAAGTCTAACTGCTATTGCTATTGCTATTGCTATTGCTATTGCTATTCTTCTAGTCCAATCCCCTGCTTAGGCAGGAAGTCCTGTACTTTATTTAACTATAGAAATTCAAACAAGTGGTTGTCCAATCTCTTCTTAAAAACTTCCAGTGTTGTTCCCATTGATGAAAACTGGAAAGGTCAGAATGTATATAGTTGAGCTGAAAATGTATTGTATGGTCTCCTAATAAGTCTCAGTACATCTCACTGAATTCAGTAAAACATCTGACCAAACCTATAGAGTATGTTGTAGTTTAGTTTGTCATTCTGCATATATTTAGCTGACAATAACTACTATTGAAATTTCAGGATGCTGCTCTGTAATTATCATATTTATATTGATAATGAAGAAGGAGCTATTGGCTGCTCTTTTAAAAACCCTATCAATTCTTACTTATATTCTTATTCTATTATTTCTTCTCTTACATAGAAAATTACACTCTGAGAAAAAAAATAGCTACACCTCATATGTAACTAAAACTTCTTTTCAGAACTTTCTTGAAACTTTAAAATAAAATACAGTTGGGATAAAACTATATGGGTCTCCTGAGCTAGATTCGTTATCCATATTGTGAAATGGGTTTCACAGGACAGCCAATATAATATGAAAGAAAAGAAACATTCTAGAAGCTAAATTCAACTTCTGCAAAAATTAAATCTTGCCTTAAAAACTCAAATTTATTTTGCCTATCTATCCCAGCAATCATCACAATATTGTTGTAAGGGAGTGAAAATCAGTACATTGTAGATTAGAAAAATAAGTCAGTTTCTGAAGATATGTCAGATGAACATTTATTTACTGAAGTAATATTTCTGAGAGTCTGAAATCACACTAAATTCAACCATTTTGTTCATACCTAGCAATACTTTCTTTTGTTCATTTGAAAAGTAAAGCTTGTTCTCATGTCTATTGAAGCCTTATTTTACCCAAACTAGTAAGCAGGGTCAAAGGTTTACAAATAAAACACCTTACAAGTTGTAAACACTTATAATTTTCTTTTTTATGCTTAATTAACAATAAGGATGCACCCAGATACCAGGAATTCAGTCATCTTAATAGGGCAAATTAAGGTCACACCTGATTTTTTTATAACAATTCCAAGTAAAGACACCTCGTGCTTGTAGATGATTTGCTTGGTATACAGCCCACCTCCATCAATATATGAGGTATATAATAGTAATGTGTGGGCTATCCTTTCCTAAATATCCTATTTAAAATGTCCTAGAAATGTGTCAACAGCAGTCCATTAGCTTTAAGAGTTTGATGCAGCAAAACATCATTGCAGTCCATCACATACAAACACCCATCAAACCTTTGACGTAGCTGTAACAAATTAAATGACATTGCCTCTAGGCAAAAGTGATAAATATTTAATATTTAGGATGGATCCACATTACAATATAAGCACACTGAGATTCTTTGGGCCATTCCCAGAAATCCATTATGGAGATGCTTGAGGTGGCCCTCTAACAATCTATGTGAAGGATGTTTGGAGTGCTAATTGAAAATCTATTGGGTAGGCTAACACAAGGATTTATCTCAATACATGCTTCTGGAGGTAATCCTAAAATTATCACACTTTTTACCTAACCTGACATTTCCATTGAACAGCACAGAAATTATTTAAATTCTTTTGAGTATTGCAAGTAAGACAGGTCCTCTTAACCACAGATTTTTAAGGCTTTTAAAAGCCTTAAAGGAGAAGGATCTCCAAAGTGTCATAAAAAGCAGTTCTTCACCCAGATATACAGTTATTCCTGCCTGATTCACTTTCTTACTCTTTCAGAATTCAGGATTAATATCAGATTTTAATGTCAGAAACAATTTTTTATTTACATAACTCACATATGCACCATCAAATATAGTTTCATTAGGAAGCAGTCAAGGGTAGCAATATATTTGTGTAGAAAGACAAATCTATCTGTCACTTTCTACAGCTTTTCATTCACAACTTCAATCCATCTGATTTCTGTACCAATTTACAATTTTGGTTTATTTTTTTTAAAGGAGGCATGAAAATATATCCCCCCCCCTTTTTTTGTTTTAGCATATATATGGATGGATGGTTGGATGGTTGGATGGTTGGATGGTTGGTTGGTTGGATGGATGGATGGATGGATGGATGGATGGATGGATGGATGGATGGATGGATGGATGGATNGGGCTCATTCCCCAGGAGCACTCTACAAGCCTCCTAAAGGCTATTCATGCCCTTTTTTTAAAAAAGGCCCATTTTTGCAAAAAAGCGGGCTGTTTTGGGGAGGTCTGCAGAGTGCAAAAACTTTTTTTTTAATTTGCCGTTTCAAAATCTTGGTGCGTCTTATACTCCGGTGCATCTTATACTCTAAAAATATGGTACATTCATTTAATCACATAGTTCCATCACTCTTCCTTACAGCAAAAGGAAAATAAGATTCCCAAAAAGACTGTTCAAACACAGCAATTAAGAATTCCCAACTGCTCACCAGCTTCACTGAGGCTAGCATTCTGTAGGTATGTCCGACATCTTTCTTTGTGTTCCTCTAATGAACTTCTCTGCTTATAACTCCGTCCACAGAATTCACACTTGAATGGTTTCTCCACTAGAAATGAGTATTTGATTTATAGATGTTATGTAATAAATATTATATGATTTTAACATATCAAGTACTTCAGTTCATGATCTGTTAATCCCCAGAGCAATCCTGCCAGATTAAATAACCAACAGCCTTAAGACTAAAATAGTGAAAGATTCCCTAAACTGGGAATGTTTGATTTCCTAATCTAAATATATCTGATTAAAAGAAGGAAGAAGCTTTTTTGCTTTTCTCTGGTTAATGCTGCACAAGAAAGGTATTTTAATCTTTTTTTTAAAAAAAGCCATGGTCTCATGAATGTCTGTGGAGGAATTGGGTGTGTGTGAGAGAGAGAAATGATATCACAGGCAATTACTTAATTGACAACATTTGTACAATGACATCATGACACACAAGATCACATTTTGACTTGAAGAAATTGGCTCTGTCTGAACCTTCATATTTCCATGCTGTCAGCAGTGGAAACCTCAGCTCATTTATACAATATATGATTCATCAGCGATGTACTGGAAACTGCTGCAAAGCTAGAGATTTACTTTGCTTTACTTTTGGATGCACTGCAGCTCCATTTCCATGCTAATGAGACCTCTTGCTTAATACCTCCTCATGGTTCCTGAACTTTAGGTCCCATTAGGGAGATTCCAGGATGATTCTCTTCGCAGCTACATCTCAGCTGTCCAGACATAAAGTGAAGAGCATTTGATTATTTTGTCCTTGCCTCCATGTTGGATAAACTAGCAGTGAGGGGGACTACTGATATTCCTTCCTTCCTTCCTTCCTTCCTTCCTTCCTTCCTCCCTCCCTCCCTCCCTCCCTTCCTTCCTTCCTTCGTCTCCCACTCTCCCTCCCTCCCTTTCTTCCTTGTGGGAAAGGTCTGCCAAGACCTCAGTAGCTAGAGGAGCTGTTGCAGCACAAACTATTGTTCTGATTTTCACTTCTTTTTAGTATTGCAAGGCTCAAATCCTGAAAATAATAACAAATTATCTTTATACTACCTCTGACAATTTGAAAAGAAAGAAACAGTAGCAGTGAAGAAGTGCCACCAGTATTCTCAACCTTTATTTGGGATATTGACTAGGTTTTTTTGTAATTCTTTATTTCTTAGCACTTAATATAAAATCAAGTCTTCTCTCCCCAGATCATTTATACTGTTTATTTATTTACTGTATATTTCCTATTTCTTAACTGTCCATTCCCTCAGAATTGTTGTTCCTTACTTGCGGCAACAAAATTGGATTGGCTTTATCACATTGATCAATCTGATGTAATTAATGGATTCTTAAGTTTCATGGTTAATATGAAGGAGAATTATCATTGTTAAGGAAACTCAACTTCTAATTTCCACTTCTCAATTTACAATGGGGACCTGCAGTTCTATATGGAGGAATATATTATCTCAAATAACACAATTTTATGATCCATGTTTTAATCTGAGAAGTAAACAAATACATATATAGAATTGCAGAATACACACACACACACACAGAGACACAAACATGGCAAGGGAAAGTTACCTCCAATGACAAAAGAAGAAAATAAATGAAATTTATAGATGAAAAATTTGCAAAATTATGCAGGAATTGGATGGAGTTATCATGAAATTGGATATATATGATACTGATGAGTAGTAATCTAATCTCTTTAGTCTAATCTAAGATTAGATTAAAGACTTACTTTTTCATTTATGGTTTTAAAACAGGTAGTAATAATAATAATAATAAAGAATTGAAATATACTGATAAAAACAGAAATAAAGGAACTAAATCAATCAATCTTAAGAGAAATAAACCCTTACCAGAATGTGTCCTTAAGTGACCTGTGAGTGCATCTCTTCTTTGACAAGCATAGCTACAAAGGTGACATTTGAATGGCTTTTCCCCAGTGTGAAGTTTAACATGGCGGAGAAGATTTCCCTTCTGAGTAAATGAGGCTCCACACTGATTGCAATGGAAAGGGCGCTCACCTTAAAAACAATATGAGTGGTGAAGTGATTATTAGAACATTACAGTCTTAGCTAATGATAAATTCAAATTATTCTGCCATAAAAATCAGGAGTTGATTTATTCCATTAAGCTTTCTACTAGCCTGAGCTAGTAGAAGGCTTAATTGAATAAAGAGTTGGTTGAGAAGGGGAAAATCTCTGTTTCTGATTATATTGCACAGTTTCCCCCAGTTGCCAATCAGTAGCTTTCTTTACCAAAACAATGTCCTTTCAGAGTGTGTAAGAGTAACAACATCTTCAAGGTATCCTCCTCCCCAACATACATACATATGCACGCACCTAAGTTGTGCCACTCTAACTTGCTTGATCACTACCTGGGATCTACCCAACTTACTGCATTGCACTAGCTACTGGAACAGCCTCAGATCAAGTATTTTCAAATGAGATATTTCTTCTGACTGAATGATAATTACCAGTATGGCTGCGTTTGTGAACCACCAGAACGTTGAGGCTGACACAACCCAATCCACAAATGTCACACTTCAGTTTTGCAGTATTTGATTTGACAAGGTCACATGGTTCAGAATGCCTCTCCAGTTCCATGTGGTCATAGTCTCCATATTCCGGCCTGCAGTTATAAAGGATTCTGGGTTCTTCTCCAATTTCTACTGGCTCAGACTTCATAATTCCACCTTGTTTTTCATCATAGTCACAATTGATCTTAAATAAGCGGTCTTCTGGAAATAACATCAACATGGTCCCAAAATAAAACATAAATATAAAACATCACAGAAGGAATATTATTATTACTGGTGTTGTTGAATAGTATTTTTTACATTTTCTTATTTCCTTCCTTCATATTTTTCAGCTTTTTTGATAAAATAATCAGTCATCTGCACAATGAAATTTACTGTAGATCAATAAAATCCTACCATTACATCCAATATTTTCCAGGGGACGAGAGGAGAGGAGAGGAGAGAGAAGAGTTGTTACTTTCTTCCTAGATCTGAGGGAAACTGACTGGCCCAAAGTCAGCCAGCTGGCTTGGTGCTTAAGCTAGAGCTTACTATATTCCCATTTCTAGCCTGATGCCTTTTTCAGTACATTTAACTAGCTCTCTCAATTCTGATGTCAAAACTGAATAGAACTTTAAACTGAACATTCAGTTTGATACAAAAATGTTCTTTTATGTTCTGATTTAGAAAACATTCATTTAACTTGTTTAATGAACCTTAACTGCAGATGTTATTCTCCTTCCATATATTCATAGCTCAGCAATACAGACTGACATGCCATTTAGCAAATATAAATGTAGTAAATTGATTCTGAATGAAGGGGATATTTTTTTCAGTTTCCAAAAAACTGCCTATCTCCAGCATAAGCATTGTGATAATGGATTTCAAGTAACAGGACTGCATTCTGAGTACTCATTCCTCTTGACATCACCTACATTACAAAGCAGGTTTGCTGCATTCAGAATAGGTTGGAACTTGGAAGAGTAATATTAGCTCAAATGTTAACTTCCATGAAGAGTTCCTTTTTTAAAGACATAGTGGCCGCTACTTTGGATGCATTTGTGGCAAGTCACTAAAATAGTTTGAATATGATTATATTTTCAGTTTAGGTTTGTAAGGTTTGTATTTGGAAAGAACTGTCTGCCAATCAATGCATATTCTCTTTCAACTCATGAATAACAGTGTCTCAAAAAAAAAAGAGATTTTGTTCATAGTCTTCACCAACATGCTTCATCTATTTATGGATATATATACATCAGTAAATTCTATACAGTTTGAAGGGAAGTGATATGAGGGAGGGTTAATTATAAATATACTGTACATATACAAAATGTTTCCAGTCACTAGGACTTGTGTTGCAATCTAAATTGTAATGATGATATTTCAGCAATGCTGAATGTCCTTTTCCTATGACTATACCATTATTTACTGGACCATAAACCAAGAAATCAATCAATCAACCATGTCAACTTGGGTCTGGTGAATTGGGTGGTGTGGAGAGAGAGGATAGAAGGTATGTACTATGCCTAGACATTGGAAAATCCAGATATTAAGGGTCTCCAACTTGACAACTTTAAGATATGGCTGGCTGAGGAATTCTGGGAGTTGAAGTCCACAAGTCTTAAAGTTGGAGAACACTGTATTAGATAATAGGATATTGAAAGATGGGAGGGATAAGCAGTACAACTGCAGTTGTTGACTTAGAACTGTCCATATGGATTGTGAAAGCTTCTTGAAAGAAGCTGATATATCTCAATTCAAAGAAAAAAGTTGAATGTTCTGTGTTTTCAGAAACACTATAGGTAGCACATAAATAACATCTTATTTAAGATTTTTCAGAAGTATTGCTAAAATGTATTCTATTACTGGATTAATAATGGTATATGAAAATCCCTCCCCCCAAATATTCTACAAGTCTTAAAATGATAGCTGTGAACCTGCCTTACAGTTTCAACCATCCTAAGAGGATACTAACTATAATGTTTCTCACAACCTTTGTACTGCAGCTTCTAAGTGAGAAGAAGTGTTGCTGAAGAACTTTCTCAGGTAAGACTGCGAAGGAGTACTGTGGCAGTGGGATGTAACCAGTTTAAGCAGAAAAAGAGGCCTTCCATTTTTTGAAGTTCAGTACTAAGGAGAAGCTTTGCAAGAAAAAGAGGGACTCAGAAAAGGGGAATGACTTTTAGAGAACTCATGTTGCTTTATTTATTAACTTTGCCTGCAAAGGTGTTTATATACTTCTCAGTGCTGAATTCTGAAAACAATCAGATTCTACAAATCATGCCAATTCTTTCACATAAAAAATACCACTTTTCCCAAAAGTCAGGAGTTTTTGGTTGTTGTTGCACAAAAGAAAACCAGTCTTCTATTTGGGGAGTTTCTTAATTTTTTTTTCTGGGAACTCCACTGGGTATATATACAGTAACTCATTCTGGTATTTTTCTTTTTTGAGGTTCCTCCATGGTAAAAAATATCTGCTGTTCGCCTTTCTTCTAAACCACCTGCTTTTGTATAAGCAACTCAGCCTTTGATAACTTCTGGTAGGAAACTGAAAGGATGCACCTGAATCTTCCTCCTGAATTTTTTTTACCATGCTCCAGCTGTGGAAAGCTCCCCACAAAGAAAACCTTGAACTTTTCAATGCACTTTGTTTAAGAAGTCAATGGAAAACATATGCTGGCTGGCAGAAAACCAAAACTGAGAAAATAACTGTTTAATCACAAGTAACCCACTTTAAATAATATTGTAAGAGTTACCCTGTGCTAAGATGGATAGTGAATAAATTCGATAAATAAATAAATAAATAAATAAATAAATAAATAAATAAATAAATAAATA